GTTGTCGCAAAACAACGGTATAGGGTTCTTGATGCTAGGAACCACTCCAAGCTCAGTAATAAAATTCTTGAGCCACACACCTTCCTTGGCTGCCTCGGCTGCAGCCATGTACTCTGCTTCTGTAGTGGAATCAGCGGTAGTATCTTGCTTGTAACTCTTCCAGGTAACAGCTCCGCCATTCAAACAAAACACATACCCTTCCTGCGACTTAAAGTCATCTCTATCAGTTTGGAAGCTGGCATCAGTATATCCAACAATACTGAGCTCTTATTTTCCGCCATATACCAGGAAGGCATCCTTAGTCCTACGGAAGTATTTAAGGATGTTCTTCACAGCCGTCCAATGGCTTTCGCCAGGGTTGGACTGGTATCTACTCGTGACACTCAGAGCAAAGGCGACATCAGGTCTCGTACATACCATCGCATACATGATGGATCCAATAGCCGACGCATAAGAAACATTTCTCATGCGTTCTACTTCTTCCGGAGTGGAAGCACTCTGAGTCTTGGAAAGACTCGTGCCTTGGGCCATAGGCAAACTTCCTCGTTTCGACTCAGACATGCTGAATCTAGCGAGGACCTTGTCTATGTATGTACTTTGACTGAGACCTAACAGCTTCCGTGATCTATCCCTATAGATCCTTATGCCAAGTGCATAACTGGCATCTCCCAAGTCCTTCATAGAGAAACCCTTACTCAACCACGTTTTGACGGTGGTTAAAGTAGGAATATCGTTTCTTATGAGCAGTATGTCATCAACATACAAAGCAAGGAAGACTACAGCACTCCCACTGACCTTCTTGTATACACAAGATTCATCCGAATTTCTTTCAAAACCAAAACCGATGACAGTTTCGTGAAAGCGGATGTTCCAACTCCGTGAGGCTTGCTTCAATCCGTAGATTGATCGCTGCAACTTGCATACCTTGGTAGATTCTTCAGGAGCGCAAAACCCTTCAGGTTGTGTCATAAAGACATCCTCAAGGAGGTTTCCATTAAGGAAAGTCGTTTTGACGTCCATCTGCCAGATTTCGTAATCATGGTATGCTGCGATAGCAAGTAAGATCCGAATGGATTTAATCATGACAACTGGAGAAAAAGTTTCGTCATAGTCGATACCATGTATTTGACGATATCCTTTTGCTACCAATCGTGCCTTGAAGGTTTGCACCTTACCATCCATGTCAGTCTTCTTTTTGAAGACCCATTTGCACCCAATGGGTTTGATCCCTTCGGGTGCATCAACCAAAGTCCATACTTGGTTGGTGTACATGGAATCCATTTCGGACTGCATGGCTTGACGCCATTCCTCAGCCTCGGGACAACTGATTGCCTCGAGGTAGGTCTCCGGCTCATCCTGGTCGATAAGCATTACGTCACCCTCAAAGGTTAGGAGGAATCCATACCTTTCAGGTTGTGTGCGTAACCGGTTAGACCTACGGGGTTCTTGTGTATCTTGAGCATTTTGAGGTACAACAGTTTGTTCCTCTAGCTCATGTTCCAGAACCGGCGCGGTAGTTTCTTCGTCGTCTCGAATTTCTTCGAGCTCTATCTTTCTCCC